GGGGGTGGGGGTGGGGGGAGAGATAACTTTTTGTTAAAACCTCTGTTCTCGTATATGGCAGGAACTTGAAGCATGAGAAATATTTCCTGTTCCAGTTATAGTTTTAATCTCAGAGGTTGGTCATTGGTGATTTTGTTTGGTCAGTCATCATCGCACACACCTCCCCCTCATGGCTTTTTCTTTGTGTTGTTGTTTTCTCTCTCTCCAGACTTTCCTAGGAAAATACCTCCCAGATATATGCCCTGCCTGGCTGCTCGACTATTACGGTTTCAGGGCCTGAGCATTACGCAATCCAGCCAGTTACACAAACACAGGTCATTTCATAACTTGTTTTCATCAGCTGGGCCCCCTTTTAATGAAAACACAAAACAAAACAAAAACAAGACCCAGGACTTTTCCAGGGCTGCCATTTGTCTGTTCCTTAGATAACTTGTGAAAATAAATCAACGGGGACAGTTCATTTTTGGAATTAAGGAGTACCAGACTACCTTTCGTCTTCAGCAGCCACCCTTTCCCAAGAGACACACACACACACACACACACACACACACAAAATTTCCCGGAGTGAACTTTTGCCAACTGTACCAGGCTGGGACATTCCTCACATCAAAGAACTTTTACCAGAAATGACTGTGATTCCCAAGTCAGCCCTAATCGTACCTCTCTAGTGCCCCCTACAGGAAATTCTTAGAAGAGCCATCTGGGGAATGTATTTTTCCAGCTCCAGAGAGTTAACTTGGTGAGTTTTTGGAATTCTTAGGATTTTTTCTTTTTAGTTCAGGACAAATAAATGGCATACATTTAACAGCAGTTAACTGGGAACTGCTTGACTTTGAGATGCAATTTTTAAAATAATTTCTTTTGTTCTAAATAAAACCTGCTTGAAAAGGAGTGCTTTCTCTTCTTTCCCTATTTCAATGTCTGTCTGTTCATTAGGGTGCCAGCACAGTGTCTTCAGATTCCCAAGGCTTGTTTTCTTGATGCATTTGTGTTAGGAGACTGGGAATTGTTTTGGTGAGGACTGGTCTTCAGAGATGCTGGGAAGGTAGGAGGTATATATTAAGGGTCTGGTGCCTCTTCCCCCCCCCCCCCGCCCCCCGATCTTACCTCATAGATTAGGATCAAACAAAATGTTATCCCAGAAATTTGTCTGTTCCACTGACTCTTCACGGTGGAAGTCAGCGTCACTTTTTCATCAAAGTGAATGGAGTGAAACAGCAGCCATGTATTGTCTGAGTGGCAGTTGAATTTTCCTTTCCAACCCACTGAGTACATTTCCATTTATTCCTGCCTGCTGTGTTAGTCAAGGTGAGTGTAAAGTTAGGAGCCTCGTTATTTTTTTTTCTATCGTAATACAAACACACCAAAATGTATACATCCAAATCACTATTGCCTCTTCATAATTGTTCCTTGAGACTAAATACTTACTTGAATGTTGGGGCTATTAGTCAGACTCAGAAAAGTTTAACAACACCCTTCTTTTGGAATTGCCTTAAGCAAATTCTTTTGAAAATCCTGCCTGCTAGCAAATCTTTGTCCTTTGAGGGTAAGTTTGAGATTTGGAAATTATCAAGAGATTTGACACATAAGGAACCAAATCTGGCATATAAGGCCTGGGTGGTCCGGTTGGATCCAAAGCAGAGTATGACCCCGGGTGCTGTTGGTTTCAGTGTCAGGAGTCTGCCTGGGAGAGCAGTTGCCAGGACAGGGCACACCAAAGCAGGCATCTTTGCCATCTATACCTTAGGGTGGTTTTTTTCCCCCCCTTCTCTGTTAAACAGAAATAAAAACACTGGTTTTGAGAATTCAGGAAGCTAACTTTCTGCTCTGTTTGTTAAAAGAGAAAAAAATGGCATCATTACTTTGCGAATATGTCTCACTCGTGTATATAGTATCTTTTGGTGGCCACACCATTTCAAAATGATGGCAGCTGCCTTCATTGAGGCAAATATATCTGTTCCAAACCCCACTTAGTAACTCTATCCCTCTTCAATGCACTGGGCTGGAGGGGAAAGATAAGAATTCTCTTGCCCAGCACTGTCTCACCCTGTCACGTGGCAGTGACTTGGCCACGCTCACCCTGTTGTGGTTGTAGGGGAGATGGCATGCCCTCCCCGTTGAGAAGATATGTCTGAGGATTGGTGGCGGTACAAAAGGGGTCCACAGAATAGTGGAGAGAATCCCCCCCATATTTTGGAGTGGTGATTGTGGCCCAAATGGCCCTGGGAGGGAAGAGATGGGAACCAGGGGGAATGACTCTGTGTCAGCCACTTTCTTCTGTTCTGTGCCTTTTCTTCTCTGATTTTCTTCATCCTGGCAGATAGGTAAAAGAGGAAGTTGAGAGGAGACAGGTTACCTGAGATTGTGTTTTTATACTGTATAATTTGGGGGAACCATGAGCTATTAGCAACCATTTCCATTGTTACATAGTGGCTTTGCTCAGATAGGAATGAAAGGTCAAGGTGATGTTCAGTGCTGATCTGTGAAGATTGGTTGAATCCCATATAGAAGGCTTTGGAGGACATCCCAAGTTTGATAAAAATATAGAAAATCTAAGTCAAACTGGGACTCACCAGGGGGATTTTGGGGTGTATGAGGGGACATTTGCACTGACCTTCTCCCCTTCCCCTGAGCCAAACTCCCGGGATGTTGGAATTTTCCTGTGTTGGGAACCTTAAAAAGGGGGGGATTCTTAAGAGAAAGACCCAGTCCTTTCCCAGACATGCACAGTCATACCTGCCTGACTGTGGAGACAGGTCACAGGCATTCGTGGAGTTCATAGCTTGAGCGCTTGGTGGCTCTGTCTAAATCAATCTGATGGACAAATGTCTGGCCAACGAGATGAGCCAAGAACACCAACTTCAACTTCCATCTCAATCAATGCCATTTCTGCCCAGCGCAGAAGTCACTGAGATAAGCCCTGCCCCATCCATGAATGCAGGAAATGGGAGCCCAAACCCTAGTTCTGACACCCTGCTGCAGAAGGCGTGGTTATAACCCTCATTTCTGCATCCAAGGCTGTAAAGTTCAGAAAGGTCATTTTCCCAAATCAACTGCTGGGCTGCAGAGACCTCTCTGATCTGATGGAGCCGAGTGGCCCTGGGGGCCCTGTGTTCTGAGCTGTCACAGGCAGTACATGGAGGACACATACACTTACTGAGCAGCCTGTGGCACCTTTAAATACAGGGTGCAGCAGAGTAAAGGAGGTTCTGCTGCCCAAAGACCCACAACAAGGCTTGTAAGGGTTCACACTTCAGCTTCAGGGTCTGGAGAGTCAAGCCGGTGGGTGAGAGCCCGTCCCCGTGCCTCCCTGGGTGAGAGGAAAACCTCAGGTCTGATTTGTTGCTTTCTTTCCTCTCTTTGTTCTCCCCCCCCAAACCTGAGCATAGGAGATGAAAATAACCCCCCAGAACAGGAGGCACCAAACTATGGCCCAAGTATTTTTATAAATAAGGTCTAATGGAGCCCAGGCCCGCCTGTTTACATATTGTCTGTGGCTGCTTTCACGCTACAATGGCAGACTTGAGTAGTTGCGGCAGGGCCAGTACGGCCCACAAAGCCTAAAATATTTACTATCTGGCCTTTTACAGCAAAAGTTTGCCAAACTCTTCTCTGAGAGGTCAGCGGGGGCCAGTTTGCCCTTTTATGGGCATTCTTGCCCATCCAGAAATCAACAGGATTGGCACAGTTAGCTACAGCATTTGGAGGCTTCTCCAGGTTGGAATACCACACGGCCATCCAGCGTCTTTGATCCTGTCCCTAGGAGTGGAGCTTCCAGGGGGGCTGGAGAGCCCCAGAAGAGCCAAGCGAGGTCCTGGGTTACCTCCTCTGTCCCCCTACTCCCAGCCCACAGCTGGCGCTGCAACAGGGACCAAACTACCCTAATGCCAGCCGCTGGGAAACCTTATCTTAGTTTCTGTTCAGTGTCAACCCCGTTTGTAGAGAAGCATGATTTATCTCTAGCGTGACATTTGACGGATTCTTGGGTCTGCTGGCAGAGAATGCCAGCCTAACTTCTGGGACCACAGTCTCCTAGCCTCACCTCTGTCTCCTCCCAGTGTCACACTCTGAATAACACCTTCAGAGGTGAGACAAGATATCTGCCAGATCTCACTTGAACTTGTGTGCGTCTGGGAGAGGAGACAAAGCCTTCTTTATCAGAGCCCCAGTTCCCTCTGGGGACGGGACACTGTTTTCCTTGCAGTTTAGAGCCAGCGTGTTATCCAGATGGCTTTACCTCCCTCTCAAACAAGGTGTACGTGCATTTAGAGGCAGTCATTACCTACTGTCTTGCTTTTATTGCTGTCTTGTTTTGTCTAGACCAAGCCATTGCTGCAAGGAATCTGGCTGGGGGCCGGGGAGCACAGCCTGCCATCAGGAGCCAGGGCCCTGCTAGGGGCTGGGAGTCATCCACTTACTCCTAAGGGCTCTTAGTGTCCACGCTGTGCTTCAGATTTTGTTGCTTGCTTCCCCCAGACTGAAACGGGAGCTCTTTTGTGGTTGGAATGAGGAGTGAATTTCTTGGGTACCTTCTGGAAAGGAAAGCTGACAGTCCCCCCCCCCACCCCACCCCCCGCCAGAGGTGGAGGTCACATTAAACCCTGCGCTGGATGCCTCAGGTGTCCTTCAAACCCAGAGCCTGACTTGGGAGAGAAGTGGAGTAGAAACGTTGGGTGCTTCCCAGGAGTGGGGAGCTGGTGGTGCTCCCCGGAGCGCCTGAGCAGAGTGCAGAGACGCAGATGCAGAGTGATGTGACAGTGGTGGTGACTGCGATGATGGTGCCGCCTCCCATTTGTTTGCAGCAGCATTTCTCAGCCCTGGCTGCACATTAGAGTCTCCTCAGGTGGTTTTTTTTTTTTAATTACCTTATCAGAACCCCACCCCAAACCAGTTATTTTAGAACTCTAATGGCGAGGCTGGCTCCAGTACTGGTGTTTTGAAAAAGCTCCGCAGACTATTCTAATGTGCAGCCGGGGTTGGAACCACTGGAGAGCTTTTATAGCCTGTGATTACAAGTAGCTACTAATTTAATCCTCAGGACAGGGCAGAGAGGTTGGTGCTAGCATTCCCACTTACAGGCAGGGAAACTGAGTCCTCAGTGATTTGCCAAGGCCTCAGATCCAGCCTCCTGGCTCCATGTGTAGTGCTGCCTCCTTGCCAGCCCCTCCTCACCCCCGCCCCCTCCCAGCAGCTGGAGAGAAACAGCTGTCCGAGCCTCAGTGCTTCTGCGCACTTCTCAGTACTCTGCCGCCTCAAAGCCTGGCCCTGGTTGTCTGTTTTCTCCTTGTAGATGATTTCCCAGTGGGATCCTTCCTTGTTCACTGTACCCTTCCCTCCTTCACACCACACACACACACACACACACACACACACACACACACTCATATATACATTCTTCTGTGCAGTCAGCTCCTGATAAAAAAAACCCAGTTGTCTTTGCTTTCTGAGGCCACACAGAATGCCTTGCACTGGGCAGCTCTCCTCACAGAATCACAGAATCCCTCACACTGGTAGCATCACAGAATCCCCAAATTTATTGCACTGGGTAGCATTCCTCACAGAACCCCAGGATCCATTGCACTGGGTAGCATTCCTCATGGAACCCCAGAATCCACTGTGCTGGATCGCTCTCTTCATTGAGTGCTTTTGGCCTAGGGCCCCAAGGCTGTCGGGGAGGTGAGGCAGCCACATTCTGCCACCCAGACTAGGGTCAGGCCACTGGAAGGGGAGAGGCAAGGACGGGTTCTCAGCACCCTCAGATCCAGTGAGGTGCTCTAAGCTTCCCTTCATTTCTATAGCAGGAACCTAGATGCCATCACCAGGGGCTAATACTGCTGACCCTAGTTGGTGTGACTGGGCCAGAAAAGTGGGGGTTGTTGCTATAGCTTCCATGCTAATGATTTTGAGATTTCATCTGGGGTCAGACCGACCTGTGGGGGCCTCCTGGGTGAGAGGCAAGGTCTGTAGGGACCCTTGGCGGGGACGACTGGTGCTCCTTCTGAGGGTTGTGGGGGTGGACACCAGCACTTGGGACTGCATTTTGAGGACAAAGAAGTGATGCTATAGAAGCTTGTGTATCACCGTGTGTGAGAGCTCTGGCCTCCTTGTCAGGCTGACTTGGGTTTGAATCCTGACCCCTCTGCTTATTAGCAGTGCCGCCCGGGGGGTAAGTTAATCTCTTTATGCCTAAATTTCTGCCTCTAAATGGCGATAATGGCAGTTCTTACCTGAGGGAGAATGCATAATGTAGGTAAAACACCACCATGGTGCCTGTCATTTAGTAAATGCTCAGTACCTGTTAGTTACTCTTGTTATTATCAGTTTACCCACCAGATCAGGGAAGAAAGGATTTGCAGAGTGTTTTTGTGGAAATAGGAATCTTCTGAGGGTGAGGGTTCCATTAGGGGAGCTTTTCCCTGACAGCTGGGGGTGGGGTCCTTCCTTTCCCCTCCTCTCGCTTTCTAGTAGCTGCCCTGAAGAAAGGTCAAACCCAACTGCTGGGGAGCATGGCCCAGTTCAGCTTTTGTACTCTGTCATCATCTTATATTTTAAATAGGATGCTTCCTGCAGCATGCTTCAGAGAGCTCCACTGTGCTCTGGGCATAAATTAAGAGAGAGAGAGAGAACTCTGAGCTAGTGGCACCAAACTCCCCCACAGATGCATCTGCGAACACAGGCAGATAGCTAAATAGACAGAGACACAGCATGTCTGTCCCAAGCAAGATGGGGTGAAGGGCAAGGAGGAGGTCAGGGACAGCAAGGGGAAGTCCAGCAGCAAACACCCCCACTTCTCAGTCTCATGGGTGGGAGGACACCTTTTTGTGGACCTAACCTCACCCTGGCAGGGTCACAGCCCCATTCTGATCCTGTTTGGAAAGTAACCGAAGCAGGCACAGAGTAAGCTTCCTGGAGATCCCTGTTGCTCCAAAGCTATTGGTATGCAAATTTCCTCAAGGGGCCCTGGATCAGTACCCTGGGGAATAATTGGCAGGTGACCCAGAGGATCCGGAGGAGGCTGGAGGGATGCAGAGAGGGCCTGCTGAGTGTGAGCGGCTAGAGACCACATCTGTCTTAGAAGTCATTTGGGATATGACCACATTCTCACTGAGCTACCTAAGGATGGAGTTCCCAGGACTTCATTCAGAGACCCAGTCTGACACAGGGCCCCAGGAATAGTTAAGATTCTTCTGATTCTTAGATGTGCAAGACTTGTCCAGGGAAGTCCACTGGTGTCCTGACCTTGGTCTCCCAGGCACTGACCCTGCTTTCTGCTAGCTTTTGCCTGCTGTCTCTATTGTCTTGTTCTGCTTGGTATTTCTTGGCTCAATCATCTTTTTCTTCTCATTTCAGAAATTCCGGGTAGATATGCCTGGCTCAGGCAGCGCCTTCATCCCCACCATCAACGCCATCACGACCAGCCAGGACCTGCAGTGGATGGTGCAGCCCACAGTGATCACCTCCATGTCCAACCCGTACTCCCGCTCGCACCCCTACAGCCCCCTGCCTGGCCTGGCCTCTGTCCCTGGGCACATGGCCCTCCCGAGACCGGGCGTGATCAAGACCATCGGCACCACTGTGGGTCGCAGGAGGAGAGATGAGCAGGTACAGCTCAGATCAGCATAAAAAAGTCATGTCGGTGGCTTTCAGGGCCTCATGACACAGTCTTTCTGCAGACTGGTGGGGAGCAGGGTCAATGTTCTGGGATCACTGGGAAGAAGAGGGAACTAGGGACAGGAGCACATGACTGTCATCATTGGAGGCAGAGCTGGAGACCTGAGGGTCAGGTCCAGCTCTGTGATCTCACCTGTGTCCCTTGGAATCTCTGAGTCTCAGTTTTCTCAGCTGCATAATGGGGATTATGGTACTTGCCAGCCAAGACTTGTTGCCCCTTGAATGCAGTCGGGCGTTGGGAAAGCACATGGTGAGTGGTGAGGCATCAGCAAATGGGAAGGACTGTTAGGACCTGCCTATGGCAGTGTCCTTCTCTCATCCGTGGCAGAGTGGCCACCGGACAAGCAGCCAGTGAACACTGGCCAGCTTTTTGGGATTAGCCCCTAACTATCTTCCAGTATCTGGTCCAGACAAGCCATTCAGCAGACATAAAGGGTCACACTCTCTGCTGGCACTGCCCATAGGCCTCCAGCTCGAAGCAGGAGCCCGTTTCCAGTGCCTGGAATGTGTGTTCCAGAAGTGCCGTGACTGGGGTCCTTGGAGCATGCTCAGCTGCTTAAGCTGACCAGGATAAGGGTGGGAGGTCAGACATCAGCCTTGTTTTCCTCAAGGGGCTCAGTGTTGATGAATTAGCCTGGCTGGGAGGGACACCAGAAAATGGTGGGGCCTCTGCTCTCTAGGCAGCGTCCACCCAACACACTCAAAAGGCCCATTGTCTGCATCAGCAGGAAGCCATGGCAGCAACAGGCCCCCTGACTCCAGAAAGAGACATCAGAATCATGCATAATTCAGAAAGCGAGCTGTCAAAGTGCCCATCTGTCCCCTTCAGATGATACAACCAAAGCCCAGACATACCTACCTGGGACCACTCAGCAATGAGAGGGAGGTGCCCTGGACTCCCCGTGCAGTGTCCTTCCTGCAGCACCATGCCACCAGGAGCAGGGAAGGGAAAATACTGTAGCAGCGGAATCCCTTTTTCAAATATAGTGCTAATGTGGAGAACTCCAATTACAGCATCCAAAGCTCTCCAATTACAACCTCAGAACCCGTCCCCTCTGGGATCCTCAGCTCCACAATGTTCTAATACAAGGAACTTTAAACATGGTTCTCAGTAGATAATCGGGGATCCAGTGCCAATAGTCCCCAGGATACATAAAATTACAAGGATCGCTCTCCAAGGAACTGGAAGCTTTCGCAGGGGCCCTGGTCCTCTGAGGACAAAGCTGGGCCTTGTCTCCACTGCATGTTGGTTGGTTCTGTTAACAGCAGGACCTGTGCAGGGCGACACAGGAGGTGTGTGTAATAGGTGCTGTAATAGATACAGCTCACAGTTGCTGTTGGGCTTCTGCTGCAGGGGACAAGTGGCTAACATTCCCCTCACTATTGCTTTCCATAATTGCAGTCATAAATATTGCAGTAGCAGTGATCTTAATGTCCTTCATAAGCATGCTTCCTTCAGGGAGCCCAAGGTGCCATGCTCTACAGTCACCGATGAGCTGGATTCTCCCTGTAAGTCACTCCTGAGGGCCAGCCAGGCTTGTGAGACAGACCCCTTTGGGACTAGGAGGACAACAAAGCGAGATGTGCTGAACACTCTTCATTCTTTCCTGGGCCTAGCTCACATGAAGTTTGGAAGTTTGTATCTGGAACGGATTTTGGAGACCAGCTTTTTAAATTCCCCCCTGCACCCATTTTACAGGTGAAGAAACTGAGGCCCAGAAAAGAGAAGGGCCCAGGCCAGGGTCACACAGTGAGTTAGTAGCAGAGCCAGGACTGGAATCCACCTCCTTTGACCTCTAGCCCTGTGGTTTTCCCACCACACCATCTAGGCGGGCCCTAAGACAATCTGTCTGGAAAATTTCCTTCCTTTTTGGAGAGGGAGGGAGAGAGCCAGGAGCATTTTATTCTGTGTCATTGTCAATTAGGAGATCAGACAATCATTAAGCAGCTTGGAGGAAGCCTGGGCAGCTTGGAGGAAGCCTGGGCGGTAGCATCCTCGAACCTTGGCTCTCTGGTTCCTAGCCCTAAGGTCTTTTCCCTGAAGCTTGCTCCTGCCTTCCTGACCTCCTCCCAAGGGAGGTGCCTGGTACCAGGAGCCAGCCTGGTGCCTCATTGCCCTCCTCCAGCCTGCCCCAAGGCTCCCTCTGAGGCCAGTGGCAGTCACTGAGGAGGCAGGGAGGGGAGGGTGTGTGTGGCTTGTGGGTGGGGTACACGGTAGTGCTGACACACTCAAGATGTAACCATGTTGATGTCACCACCCCTGAACACTTCCTATGCGACAGCTCCCACAAGTTGCCCGCCCCAGACCTCACCAGAGAGGGAAGAGACTTCTAGGCCAATCAGGAGGCCAGAAGTTGTCCAGAAGCAGCCAAGGGGGGAAGGGAGGCCCAAGTGGACCATGACCAGCCTTCCATCACTGCAGGGAGGGGCTAGCTGGACCTCAAAGGGAGCCCTAAACCTAGGACTGTAGCTGGGCCATAAGGCTCTCTTGGTGACTGTTGGGCTCAGGTTGAGACAGGCTTAGGGGCAGCAAGCATTCAGGGCCTCGGCTAAGTGGCCTCATGACCTCAGCCAGGCAGCTGACCCCACACAGAGCAGGGTGTCTAAGTCTGTGGACTCTGGGTTTCCAGTCCACTTGGACTCTTAGGACTCAGGAAAAGCACCAAAGAGGAGACCTCTGAATTGCATCTTCTTTCGGGCACTTTCCAGTTTAGAGAGGGTCTCACACTGCATCTCATCTGATATCACAGATACTTTGCAGAAGGTAGGCCAGGTCCTGTTCATCCCATTTTACAAATGGGAAACCTGAGGCTCCGAAGGTTTGGTAATTTGTCCCAGGCTACACAGAAATGCTGTTTCTGTTGCTCTCCTCGCCATCCTGATCCCTCTCAGAGGAGAGAATATAGAGCCTTTGGCTCCCTGGGGGAAATGGAGGATTTCAGAGGCTGGGACTAAGGCCAGGGCTTGAGGGAAATGGAGCCAGGACTCGGCTGTCAGACCAGGTCTTTGGAAGGGGCCTGAGGACTCACAGGAATGTTAGCTGCTGGGTTGCTCAGTGCATCCCACCTGGAGGCCCCTGCAGGGGGTGAGAGACAGTGAGGGAGGAGCTGGTGAGAGAGAGAAGCTGGGCCTGGGTCTTCATGCCAGTGAGATGGGGGCGACAGAAGAGGTGAAGGAACATGGTCAGGCTGTCTTGGGAGTGAAGATGGCCCCCAGGGCAGACACAACTGAGGCCTGGCTACCAGGAGGCCCTGGCGGTCTCCCCAGCCTGTCAGGCCTCCTGCCTGCCTGTGGGC